ACTTGCCGGTGTGGGCATACATAAAAACCACATAGCAGTGGGTGTTTTTGATGATGATAGGGTGATATATATGCTGTGGGCGTGTTACCCTTTACTCTTGTGTTCTCAAGTTATGTTGCCGTTAAAAGCATCATTTTCTGGAACCACAGCAGACTGTTGTCATGTTATTGATCTTTAATAAAAAGGAGCTGAGCTGTAGTGTGGACCAACATGTGGTTCTCAGCCAGTCTGTGTGCTCTTTGTATTAATAGACAGCATTCTGTTTATTCATGAAAAGGCCTTGTCTCTTTTTCAGCCGCCGAGTTCAGACAGATGATGTCAGCACTGGAAATGGCTGCACATCTGTGTCAGTGTGTCTAGGTCTTATTCACTGATCCACAAACAGTTTGTTAAACTGCAGTTTCTGTCTTTCTTTCTGTGGAAACCGAACATTGATCATTGATTGTGGATTTTGTCATTAGTGAGGCAATGAGGGCGGAGAGGTTTGTTTTTCCACTTCATTGTCTCTTAACACAGCTGATCGATCTGCCTGCGCACTGTGCCACGAAAAGGTTTGAAAAAAACATTTTATCACATGGAGACGAGGAGATTATTTGCACCAAATTCAGATTATAAACTGCATGCGGACTAAATTTGGCATTTCATTAGGGATAGGGATATTTTTCAGCTGATAACCAATAATTACGGTACCCATACGATAACCAATCATTTCACATTTTTGTGTTTTAAAAAGAAGCTCATAAGCTGTAGTTTATGCAGACTTGATGGTAAGAAAGGCTGAGATGTAGTGAGCAACAATAGATTTGATATTCCATAGCTGTGATCCAAACATCACTATTGTTCACAACAACAAACAACAGGTCTGTTTTCTAGTAAGTTTAAAAAAGTCAAACACACTCTGTCTGTCATAGAGCATAAAGCATAAAGTCGCTTTGCAAAAGAATTCAAAATAAATCATTATTATAATCAACTGATCATTTATTGGCTGTAATTTCATTATCAGGATAATATATAATAATATAAATTTCCCATTATCGACTGATAATTATCATGCATCCCTAATTTTAGCCCCTCAACCAGGCCACCATTGTGAGCAAGTGTTGTTCTGTATTTTTAAGAAAAACTTCTGGAAAATGATTTCTTAAAAAGAGTGGGGACCCTATTATTCACATCTTTTTGATTTAATAATATATCAATAAGAGATAATCAATTGATTATGAACGTCGTTGTTAAATCAGACTTTTCATTTTGTACCTTAAGTGTTTTTTAAAACATGCTGATCTGGCATAATAATGATGATTGTGTGTGTTTGTGCATTAACACTGGGATATTTACTTATAATTCAACGGAGGGTTTCTGCTTTTATAACACACACACAAAAACACACACAAACACACACACACACACACTGGCGTATATGAACACATTTAGAGGGAACAGACGCGGCCACTGATTGGCTCTCACGCTGTTGCTATGGGAGTTGAAGCTGCTCTTTCATTCGTCAGGCTTCGGACCAGCGGCAACCGCCGGCTGTCTGTCAGCATCCCTCCGTCGTCACGGCAACAGACAGGAAGCGGAGCAGGAAGAGGAGAACCGTGTTGTCGTTGTTGTTGTTGTTGCTGCCGATTTGGACAGCAGAAGAAGAAACTCCCCTGTCGTTTATTTTCTCTCTGTGCTTTTTTTCCCCCCTGAGGATGATCCGTCTGCAAACATAAAAACTGCACGTACAAAACGGCTTAATGCTTCTACACACACACACACACACACACACAGGGTCACTCTGCAGCAACCTGCTAATCCTCCACCAAAAGATGATTATTAATATGACATGTTTGGATGAAAATGGGAATGAAAATGTATAAAGAATATGTGTGTGCAGTGTGTGTATTCTAAAGACATTTTTAGGGGTTTATTGCACTATTCATCAGCCTCTTCCTACTGACTACTTCTAAAATGGTTCTATTCAAATGCAAATGCTTCCGTCTCACACACACATACTGCAGTTTGCTCAGTGCTCCACACACAGCAGCAAACACAAAATCACATTCACCTTCAGAAATATTGAGTTGGTAATTCTGCCTTATTTCTATTGTCTGAGTTGCTCAAAACAGTTCATATATTTGCTAGAATGCACATTTTACAGGAGCAGTGTGTATGATTTAGTGGTGATCTGTGAAGTGTGTAGGGCAAACTACGGTGGCCGTGAACACTAATTAAGCACAATGAAATACCTATGAATATATATCCATTTCTGCCAATAGTCCTCCTAAATGTACACACTGGAACTTTAACACTTGGAAATTTGGAGTTACTTAATAATAATATAATACATAAACAAATTACACATGGAGAGGTTAGCAGTTAAAGGTCAAACACAGAGCTGCAGCAGCTTAGATATATTAAGGATTTAGCACTTTGCTCAACACTCCTTGTACATTGTCAAACATGCCAGACCAGTTTCAACCTCCATACATGACACACAAATTATTAGCCACCTCTACATGACTCAGCCCTTAGGGAGGAAAGTAAGTTACGAGAAAAGGAAGATGAAGAGGAGGAGTGGCATCCCAGTTAGGTGAGCAGCAAGAGGTAGATGATTAAGAGTTGGACAGATAAGGTAAAGTAAGGCAAAGGAGGAGAGGCACTGAAGGAAGAGTGAGAAGGAAGTGAGCCATAAGGAAACAAAAGAGGAGAGAGGGATGGGCGAGCTCATGAATATCAAAGCAATGTTGCTCAGACTAGAGTTGCATAAGCACCTCTGACCTAGAAACCTTCGACGGTCGGACTGAACTCACCCAGAGATGGAGAGAATGAAAACAGCCAAAGGGGGAGGACGGAGGAGGCATGAGAAGGAGGTTAAAGAGCGAAGGATTGAAAGACTGAGTTGGCCTTCTCCTTCGATTTTGCACTTCTAATCTTTTCTCCTTATGCTTCCCTTAAGTACTGCAATTAAATTATACAAGTGTATTTGATTACTACCAAATACACTTGTAGGGTCAAAGGAGACCTATTGTGTATATATATTACTGTTTTTATTCACATATATTGTAGATTAGTTTAGTAGTTACATATATTACATATAGCAATGTAGGTAACATTGCTATATGTAATACTATGCAGTTGAGTTAAGCAGAAATGAAGGCTGTACTGAGTGAAGTGAAGGATGTGAAGGAGGACAGGGAGGGAAACAGAAAGAGATTTGAATGATTAAGGCAGCAGGAAACGAGGTGAGATTCAGCCAGGATGTCAGGAATCACTGCGCCGCTGCAGGTTCCTGACAGGTGTACACAGCAAGACGTTGGGAAAATACAGAAAACACAAAGAAGGTTAGACTGAAAGAGGAAGAAAGTCGAGGCAAATGTATTTACCAAGCGCTGTTAACAAAGCATTACTGGAATACAGATGAGGTTGCAGCGAAGGATGCAAAAGGAAAGGAAGGGCTTGTATGTGAGAGCTCAGGCAACTTCCAAGGAAGGAAATGTGGATAGATAGATAATATAGAGTGCTTTATTTATTGTGGGACATTGCACTGGAATTGGAAATTACAGTACGATATTAATCAGTTTTGTTGAACGAAAATAATATGACATCACTCCGAACAGGCTATAGATAGATAGATAGATACATATAACGACTCAGATAGATAGATAGATACGATAGATAGATAGATAGATAGATACGATAGCATGTCCATAGATACGAACCTTACAGACTAGATACCACACCGCCACTTCACCGCTGAAGCGTGCCACTAAAACACTGGTCCTTGTACACTTCCAGCAAACCACAGCACTCACCACCAGGCCTTCTTGTGTTTTTGGAGAGTTTCGGCAGCACCGTATTTTCTCCCTCACAGTACATGGAAGGACTGAGCAGGGCGGCGACAATCAGCAACTTACACCACTAGATGCCACTAAATTCTACTCACTGGTCCTTTAGGACCTATAAAAGAACCCCAACTTTAGGGCATCTATTTGATATTTTCCCTTAAAATATTTTAGATAGACACGCCACCAGTGAGGGAGTGTACCCTCGTATCCCCCTGCAGGTGTCCGCAGGTTCATCATGTCGTTGCAGCGTTTCAGTACTAAGAAAAGAGCTATTAAAGAAGTGTGTTTGTCAAAGTGCTAGCTTTGTGCTCGAGTGGCCTCAAGGACGTTAGTTTTTGTTCCCCTTAAATGGCTCCTGATAAAACACAGGGAGAGAGGGAGGCTTTGATTGCCCTCGTCCGCCCAGCTCAAACACCCGCTGTTATCTGAGCTATTATTATCCGCTGTTTCCGCCATCGGGGGGATGCCAAACTGTGTGTGTGTGTGGTTTTGTGTATCTGTGGACGCAAAACAAAATCTGTTTTACAATCTACTGCTGTAGATTTAAAAGCCACTTTATTAACAGGGTAACACGGGCTTTGGCTGCTGGCAGTGTTGTTGATCCTTTGGTTCACGCTGGTGATTTTTCATGGTTTAACACATCAAATTTTAATCACACAGACCTGACAAGTCTGATTCAGATTTTACCAACAGATTTATGACCGATTTTTAACCATCATACTTAGCAATCACTTTTAATGGTATGCCTGGCTTCCCAGCTTTTTTCTGTTTTGGGCTTGCTCTGTCTAAATTATTCGGACTGCGTCTCAAAGGGTGTGGTTTCACTTCCTTTATAAAACTTTATAAAACTTTATAAAACTTTTTAAAACTTTAGAGATTATAAAACTTGGTTCAGATACAGTAGACGATCACTAATAGTGAACGTTTGCTGAGCTTTATTTTTCGTAACAGTTCAGTATTGTCACCTAATGACACAGGTCATTGCTCGTTGGACTGTTCTTGAATACACCAGTTGTATTACCTTACAATGTTCCTATCTTGATATTAACACGTGTTCTTGCCTATAGTTTGATCATTTTCCCCCTACACCTCCTTTCATCTGCTCCTCCAAATCTCCTTTTTTGCTTTGTCTAACCCTTTCTTCTTCTCTCTCCTGTCCTCTATCCACAGATGAAACCATGCGGCTGGTTGGTGCTCCCTAACCTCCCCTGTCCCTCGTCTCCCACCTAATCACCGCTCCTCCTCCTGTACCCCTCTTCTCTCCCCCCTTCCTCCTGTTCACCATGACGACCACCCTGGAGACGCTGTTGGCCCAGCCCGACCAGGAGCTGAGCCCCGAGCGAGTGGATGGCTGCGAGGACGTCGCTGGCCGCTACAAGGTGGTTCCCTCTGTCGTCTGCTCCATGTGCTGCCTCTTCGGCATCATTTACTGCTTCTTTGGTGAGTTGGAAAATTTACTTGGAAGTGCAAAATGCTTCAAAGTTGGACCAGAGATCATTGCAGCAGTCGTTTCTATTCTGTGTGATTGATTTACTCATTAAATTATTTGGTAAAAAGTTAATGGTGTCATGTGTTTCCGCCTCTTATTTTAGGCTATCGCTGCTTCAAAGCGGTGATGTTCCTGACGGGCCTGATGTTTGGCTCCGTCGTCATCTTCATGCTCTGCTACAAGGAGCGCGTTCTGGACACCCAGCTGAGCGTGGAGGCCTCGGTGGGCATCGGCCTTGGCATCGGCACGCTCTGCGGCCTGGTCACCATGCTGGTTCGCAGCGTGGGCCTCTTTATGGTAGGCCTGCTGCTGGGCCTGCTGGTGGCTGTGGCCACCCTGGTAGGAATGGAGGAGCTTTCCGACAGCCCACCGCGCTCCGTCTGGGTGCCCCTGGGCGTGCTGCTTGGCCTGGGCATGCTGTTCGCCGTACTCACCCTACAGTGGCAGCGCCTCTTTACCACGCTGTCCACAGCGATGTTTGGTGCAGCAGTCATCACTGTGGCGCTGGACTACTTTGTGGAGCTCTTTGCCCTTGTGCTGTACATGTACGAGCGAATAAAAGCAGCACCTGGAAAGCCTGTGTGCTGGTTGACGTGGGTGGTGCTCGGGGTGTGGCCTGCCCTCACCCTACTAGGTGTCATGGTCCAGTGGAAGGTGACCGCTGAAGGATACTCCCATACCAAGGGTGAGAAAAACTGCTTGTGATTTTTTTGTGGTGAATGCCTCTTAAACTACAAACCATTATTTTTTCTTCCATTTGCTGTTAAAACTATGTCTGCACACCATGATGCAGAATAAAATACCTGTAAATTAGCATAAAGACTGTAGGATAAGAGCCAATTTAATCACAAATCAACAGCAAAAAGTTCAGATCTTTTGCTCCCTATGGTCCAATGTTAGCTTGCCTCAGGCTGACTAAACCTTCAATTTATATTTCCCATCAACAGTGTCACATGATTGCTGTTTGAGTATTTCCACAACTAACAATGATGCGACAACAATGTTTCCAAATATGCTAAAACTCGATTTTGCAGCGCTGGCTGGTATTTTCTCTTTGTAGTGATGGCTGATGGGACTTGTTGGTACTATGGTATGTTGTGTTGAGCTGTACAATCTCTCAGTCTCAACAGTTGGAAATGGCGTGATTTTGATTTCAAGAAGTCAAGAAGCCTACAATAAAATTTTATTGAAACAATTTTTTAGACATATACATTACCCATTACAATTATTTTAACAAAAATTACATTTTCAGGACTTTCTTAACATCTTCAACAAGATTTGGCCCAGTTGTAACCTGAGTTTACTGAAGTCTCCACGAGGAAGGCACTGGATAAGGGTCCCCTGAAAAATCTCTTAGAAACTTTAAAAGTTTATGTATTTCAGTCTAGTTTCATGAACTTGCTGAACGGACCTCATGGAGCCTTCATGGAGCCCCTCAACTTTGTACCACTCTTGTTGTTTAATAATGCTGAGGTTTAAACTATTCCTTCCTCCCTGGAAATAGTACTTACAGAGGCACTATTTCCACCCACAGCTTTACTAAGACATCTACTGCAGGTAGCACAAAACAAAGCCATTAGCTTCTCCTAATCGACCTACCTCTGTCCTCCACAGTAATCATCAGCCGGCAGCAGAGAAGGATGCAGGTGATGCGGATTCGTCAACGGGACGACCGCTACCGCAAGAAGAAGAAGAAGCAGCAGCACGGCTCCTCCTCCCACCATCACCAGCAGGCCAAGCAGCTTCAAGCTGAGCCCGCCTACCGCCGCAAACCCAACCCTATCCGCCGCTATGACACAGACGTCCTCTCGCCGGTGAGGCCTTGATCTTACTTTCTGTCATACATTTTTGTATTTGCTGTATTTGTATTTGTCATCTGTTATTTGTTGTTGTGTTCACAATTGTTTGCGTTTGGTCTTTTTTTTAAATTGTTTTTGAAATTCTGAGTGCATATTCTGTATGTTTCTGTATGCCTCCACCTCCAATTTTTGATGATTTTCAATCATTTACTTATTAACGCTCCCATGACCAAGGTCAGTGGAATTTGCTGTTGAGAGGATTTTTGGTGATGAAAAATCCAAAAGTAAAATTATAAACACAAACCAATACAGTTTTTAATAATGATTCTTCCACTGTGTGACCGATCCATAAAGGCATTGAAATGTTTATGTAGACAATGACAATTTTTGTCTTGAAGAAGACAGAAAGAAAGTACCTTTTTTTGTCCTTGTAATTTAGTTAATGTTTTATTTTTCATTTAGCTATTTTTTCATTTGTTAAAATTTCCTTCATCTTACAACCAAAGCCTTTCTCTATTCTATCCAGAGCTACATCCAGAGTTTCCGAGAACGGCAGGTGCAGGCGCAGCCCTTCCCGAACCGGCTGGTCGGGGGACCCCATGCCGTGGTGGATGTGGGCTATGACTGTGGATCCACAACGCCCCTCACTGGAGCTTCAGGACCTTCACTACGGGTCTGACTGCTCCCCCACCTCCCAGATGCCTGAACACACCCCTTATCCAGGGAGATACATGACTCTACAATCACTCCCCCACCTGGGTGTAATCACACCTGTGCTAGAAAAAAAACACCACTGGGTTTAAATGCAAAGATTCTGGGTTAAAACATTATCTGGGTTTAGCCACACCCCTAGGAGTATGAAAATATATTTAGGGCTGGATTTACCCAAAATGCAAAATATGTTTAACCCTTTACTAAGTAAATTTTTGATCATCAAGCTCCGCCCTCCTCGTGGCTACTTACTGGAGCCATCAGTGTGGTGCAGAGGTTTGGTTGACCTCTTTCAGTAGATTCAGATGCACAAATGCATGCATGCACTTGCACCAACACAAACCGCAGCTACAATCGTAACGGTCGACGTGGAAACCTGAAGCAACCCGCTGTACCTGGCCCCGGCCTGTATGTTGCCATCTCAAGTCAAACCAATCAGGGATCACAGTTTTAGTGCACACCCGCCTCAGGTTCAAACACAGGCATTGTATGAAAAATCTAAATACAGCTTCATCCACGTTCAGCGTGCTGTTTCTACCGCTGTTGTCGAGCAACTAGTTCCTCAGCCTATAGGAATCTTAAAAGTCCAACAAAGGGCACTGAGGGCCCTTCAATGCAAACCGGCATCTTCTTCTTTCTGTGCCGTCTGGACTACAAAAACCGTCCTTGAAATGAGGAGATACATCTTTAATGTTGTTTTTAATGGGGGGGAAACCTTTATCAACCTTGGTGCTGGACAATAAACTTCAAGCGTCAAACTGCTCTCCGATGGCCGGGGGATTCTGTTTTTAACGGGTGCCTTGCTCCTCCGTGGACTGTACCATTCAGCAACAGGAGGGGGGTTACTGGCAGATCTCCTATTGATGGCTTGTTTTTGCATTAAATGTGATCACAGAAGGATTTTTCAAGAGGGTAGCCATGGAGCTACGATAAGCAGGGTTGTTGTCTTCACAGATGCCTGGATATGTTAGGAGGATTTGCTTTTAGCTGACAGCAAGAAAGCCACATTTACACTGGCACCTCATCTGAGATTTCACACATATGGAAAGAGATTTTTTCAAGTAGAAACCAAAATCCCTGATTATTTTAAAACCTGAAGTTAAAAAAGTTAAACCTCCAAGGGGTTATTTAATCTAACATTTTTATTCCATAAGTATTGTTGAAAGGGAAAGATCATCTGCCATTGTGTAAAACTTTAACTTAAGGTCCGTTTGCTCTGGCAGAACAGCGCCTTCTTCCTGTTTTTGTGCCGTAAAGCAATCCGTCAGATTTTCATCAGAATTTTCAAAATGATAATTAGCTAAATGAAGAACGTTTTGAAAGTTTTGAAACAGCCTTGAAGCTTACACACTTTTCACGAATGTGTCCAAAAACATTTTTTATCTCTCTTAAATAATTGAAAACTATGTGCAATATCTAGTCTTATTATAGCTTATATTTCCTTACAATGTGATTCAAAGACTCAAATTTTTGTTTTAGAAATGTGGAATGGAGAGGCCAGTGGAAGCACTCTGGAATGGTCAGATCTGAGTAAACTTGTCTCAGAGGACTTGTGAGACAAGTTGTGTTACACTCTTTCCTCTTTCTGCCCTCTTGAGAAACGTTCAGTCTGAAGCTCAGCTGGCTCTGGCAGAACAGCGCCCTCTTCCTGTGTTGTGCTCCAACGCAATCGAGCAAATGTCCAAATTCCATTGCCAAAAAATTAAGCCGATGAAAGCTAAAAATCCACGATGGTAAAATCTGTGCAAACTAATCATTACATGGTGGTAGTATAAACAAACCTCCCCAGTTACTTCGAGCTCCCAGTCCGGCTACAGTCAGCTACAACAATGCAGATGTTGCATCAAGTATGTGTATTAGCTTTCCAGACATTCCCAATTCATGCAATTCCAACACTGTTTATGGACTCCAATAAGTCAAATACACTAGGCAAAAATAACACATTTATACCACATGCAAAACTACATGGGACCCATTGTCATTCAGATATCTTGAGATCAGAGGTGAAGGGATCCCTTTAAAAATGGCCATGCCAGTTTTTCCATCGCCAAAATTTTGCCTAATTTATTTTTATATTTTTAATTTGTATTTTTTTTTTAAAAAAAAGACTTGCTACAGCCTCTAAAGGACAATGAGATGTGGAAGAGGTAAGGATAATGGTCTCATGGTGGCAATTCAGATTCTCTCCCTGGAACGCCCCTACTAGTGGCAGCAGCAAGTAAAGTTAGCATATGCAACGGTGCACTGGTAAGTGACTTACTGTGTTACAAGGAAAAAGGTCCACGTTGCAACAATCCTCTGATACTTTCGCTCACAAACAGTTTAACATTGTTTTTCTGCAACTATCCGACTCATGAAAGGTGCCCCAACTATTAGGGTACATTTTTAACTTCCCTCCATGTTGCCTGCACCCAGAGCTGGTCGCTCATTCAGTGGCAAATCTGCATGTGAAGGCGGGCATACAAAAAATGCGGGAGTACAATCTGTAGTTCGAACAACAGCCATACCGTCCACGACAACTGCCGAGCTGGCTTAAGTCCGCCAGATGTTGTGAAACGGGCAACATATAGGGAGGTTAAACATTGTTCATTTGCATTTACTACCCACATTGTAATGATACAAAGCTGGTTTACAATCAATGTTTCCCTTTAACAATCGACTGATCGCTGAGATGCCAGTGTGAATACGGCCCTGAGAATTAGAAAAAGTGGACTAGTGGCCAAACCAACTTGTACTTAGACCAACAACTCCTTCCGTCATGTGCATTGATTTTCTTTATTTAGGACAACATGACATTTTTGTCAGCAGTGAAAATGTGAATACTTTATCGTCTTTACCTTTTTTTTTAAGGGAAAAGCAAACGTGGGGACGGGGAGGGTTGTGTTGTACGTTTTTATTCAACTGTGGGGAAACCGAAATGCATGATCACACCCCTCCGTTCCCCCGATCCGCCCTGCGTGGCTCCCTCCACCCCTTCATGTGCATAGATGTGAAATTTGTACATAAAACACAGCACTTACTAACATTTTAGTTATTTTTACCAGTTTCATTCACTTCTTTTTCATTTCTTAGGAATCTAATTTAATCGAGACATTCTTTTTTTCAGTGGGATGTATTTATTTGCTGATTTATTTATTTCGCGAGAGCCGTTCTGTAAAGGAGAGTGCAATGTCATCACTGTAGGCCAGTAACTCCATGCTTTTTTTAAAAAGGAAATAATTGAATTATGTCTATGATTATTAAAGCATGTGTTCCTATGGGCCTGTATACGATCAATGTGTTCGAGTCATCTTTTAGCTCAAGGACATACAGACATCAATCAGACCAGAAATCCACCTTATTTTTATTAGCAAATAATGTTTGAAAGTCATAGGGGATTATCTCTCTCTGTCTCTGTCTCTCTCTCTCTCCCTCTCTCCTTCGCACTACCTCTTTCCTCCTATCTTCATCTCCAGAAACCTTTAATCTCATCCTCCATCTCCTCCTTTTTGTCTGTCCTTTATGCGTTCCTTTATTGATAAGCACAAACACAGTTCACCTCATTCTCTTTAATGCTCCCGATTGGACCTCGGTGAACAGTACATAAGCTGCTGTATATGGAAGAAACCAGAATAAGAACCATAATGCAAGAAAAATGCATGTTCGATGTGGATTTGGATCCGTCTGTACAATTTTTGTGGTAGAAAATGAGTCCCAGAAGCAGAGCATTTGCTCGGTCGATGTGAAAAGATTTTCTGTAACAAAAATGCTGTAATTATTTAAAAAATCTCCATCTTATCTAGTTATCTTTATCTGTGTTATCTGTGTGTTTGCTGTTTGATTCCACTGCAGAAACAAAGTTTCTATTGAACAGTTAAAATGTAGGATTTTCTTTTACTTCTTCAAAGACAAAAAAAGGTTTTTAGACATCTATTTAACACAGAAATTATTCTGTTAGATTGAGATTTTTTTGCTTTACCAGTAAGCACAGCTAAATAAACCCTGATAAAGGTGATGATAACCACCACCCTGCTTTAAATTCACATATCGCTGTAACTTTAAAACAAAAACAGTACAGGCCGTAATGAATCACCCCGACTCGGGGAGGGACAGATAAGTTTTTGAAATGATATGAAAGAAGAAAAGAAACACGTCTTCCTCGTCCTGCATTAACTTTATCCTGCGAACCTGGAGGGCAGAAACACAGCAGTCAGGAGATGCTCAAAGATATCGAGGGCTGAGAACCAGACTTTTGACCAACTTTACATTGAGAGCCAAAACAAAAAGTGACCTACTTTGTCCTGACTTTCCCCAACCAGTCGAAATATGTTAAATATTTCCTCCTTTTTTGAGTGAAACATTAAGTATGTGACCCCCCGAACTGGATTGCGCCCAGTGTTGCCGGCTTGGTGACTTTTCAGACTCTCTAAGCAACTTTATTTATAAAAATCCCCTAGCGACTGTCATTTTTCCCTATTGGAAGCTCAAAATGAAGTGAAGGTGCAGACACGATCTTGGAAGACTGAGACTATTGCTTTAAATGTGAATTCAAATGTCAATTTAATCTTCAAAACTACGATCTAAATGTACAGATTTTCATAAATATATGATTGGGGAAATATATGGAAGCCCATTTCAGCCAATGTGAAGCAAAAAAGATTGTTATAAGTTAAGTAAGTATGTTTGTCATTATAATGACAAATGTTCTCAAAATATTGACTTACTATCTCAGTCATTATTCTGAGATGCTAAGTCAAAATACTTTCTACTACTATTTCTCATTATATTTTCACGTCACATTATGCGGAAATGGGCTTCCATAGCAATGCTCTTTAAAAAATGTCTGTTGGAGGGCTCTCGTGTGGACCCCCACCATGTCTGTGGTTTCCCCAGGCTTGTTTTCATTTATTTTAAGTAAATAATACTTTTAGGACTCACATATGGACAGAAATAACTTTGACGTTTTTTAAAAGGTTTCTTTATTGCAAGAGGTGTAAAACGGTCATACTTCAGCAGAGCAACAGGGCTGCAGATGAAGACGGAGATACAAAATAAAGCGATACAGTTGAAGAAAAGGGCAACCACGACTTGTCTCAACACGCCTGGGATGTATGTTTTCCCAGGAAGCCGCCACGGGTAGGACGAGATGTTTGGTTGGCACTCTCTGGCTCAACTAGTCGCTGCACGTGTATGTGTGTTTACTTGGAGGCATCACAAAAGTCCCCTGAAATAAATTAAACTGCCTCCAAATGCTATTTTGCTGAGGTCAAAGGTCACAAATTACCCTGTAAAGTTGCCAGAAATTGTACATACAGCTGCCACTAACTGAGCTATTATAGGACACTTTGGAGAGCTGTTTTTAGTGTTTCAGTCTAAATACTGTACAATATAAACCCATTAATTCGATTCTCATTAGATAGTTCTCTAAGACAATCTTAGAAAATGTCCTCAATTATACAGTTATTAAAAATGTGTTGATGTTCTACTTAAGGAATCATAAAATTAGCATTTAAATGATGATGGGTGGTGTAAAAACTCTATCTGCAGGTGAACTGCATTGTTGGTAAGTGCACACTCCAGACCCTGTGCTGGTTAGAGAGTCGTGCATCATCTAGTGGTGCATTCAGGAAACAGCAGGTGTGTTTGTACCTGGATGACTCGGGGTGGAGGAGCTCTGCTCAAGCAAGTTAATCCTGCAAAGACACAAAGGAAAACTTGATGCAAAATCTATTTTATATCTATTATATATTAATTAACTTCATTTGAATCAAATATCATTAAATAATATTTATATTTAATATATAATCTATTATATATTCTGTATGTGATTGTAACTCAATTATAATCTGAAGCATTATGAACAAACTTTCTTTACCTTCTACCTTCTAGAATTTAATATCAAAACCCTTTTTATAGACAATACAGACTCAGTCAGGACTTAAAATTGTTCTGAATAAAGACAAAAATCTGTCTAGTCTGCAGCTTTGGATTCAATCTCTATAGTTTCAGTTAATCCCACTTGCACTTCTTCGACTGGATTCCAACATCACCTGCTCTCCTCCCCTTCCAGCAGCTTCCTGTAGGTGGTGATCTCCATATCCAGCGCCATCTTGACATTGAGCAGGTCCTGGTACTCGTGGAGGTGGCGCGCCATCTCGTCCTTCATGTTGGCGATTTCCTCCTCCAGCCCGGCGATGGTATCCTCGAAGCGGCCGGCCTCGACCCCGTGGCGGTCCTCCATGTCTCTCATCTGCATCATCAGGGACTCATTCTGGATGTTTCAAAGAGACGAGTCTGGTGTGAAACAGAGCACGAGGTACGGCTGGAATGTAAAATAATTACGTGTGTGAGACGTACAGTGCCTTTGAGCGAGTCAATCTCGCAGGTGTAGGACTGGATCTGTTTTCTGAGCTCTTTGGTTTGCTGCTGGGCCTGCTGCAGTTCAGTGTTCTTATTACTCACTGTCTGTTTCAGGTCGGACACCTGGGGAGACATAGGTCAGATATTACTATTATTACTGTCAAAACTCCTTTTTTTAACACCTATTTTGGGGGGATTTCAGTTTCACCTGGACTTCAATGTCAATTGAAATTAGCTGGCTAACACATTCAGGTTACTTTACACTGTTAGAAACTTAAAACCAACGATGTGATGATAACAGTCCCTCTCCCTGTCTCACCATTGACTTGTAGCAGTCCTTGGTCTCTGTGATGTTCTTGGCGGCGATGCCCTCGTACTGGGTTCTGATCTCTCTCAGTGCTGCCGTCAGGTCCGGCTTGGACATGTCCACCTGGGTCTGAACCTGAGTACCATGCATCTGCTCCTGCAACTCACTGATCTCCTGCAGGAACAGAAGAAGGAGGAGGAGGAGGAGGAAGAGGAGGAGGAGGAGGGAGGTCAGGTGAGAGCTGATGCGGCGGGAGGATGGTTAGGTGGAAATGGGAGTAGAAACCAACCAGCTTGTAACGCACAAAAACACTACAGGTAATTCCTAACCGGTAAAGACATTCCTATGAATAACACCTGCTTCTATTTTCTGACTTCTTTGCTAATGTTGATGTGTACTGCAACCATTTACAATATAATTAGTGGACAGAGCTTCAGGGTCAACGTGGAAGTGTCTTAAAACTGCATTCTATGTAATGTCCAGCAGGGGGCAGCTCCATTGACTGCAATAAAACACAGATACCGTGAAGTCTTAAGGAGAAAAGAGCTAACTTCTCACTTTATTTCCGAGCTTAGTAAACCGTTTCCTCATGAGTTTATAGTCTCAGTCTCTAGTGTCAGTCTCCTTCCATACAACATGATTGTAGTTTGGGTATGACTGGTCTAGGGCATTTCGAATTAAGAAAAAAGTTTGCAATTTAGATTGTGGATCATGGATTTTTTTATCCTGATAACAGAGCATCGAGAAATTAATAGAGATACATAAACAGAAGAAGGGAGAGAGAGAGAGAGA